TTCTCCCCCAGTGACTACTTACACTTTATTCAAGATTAAAATGTTGAACTATGGAATCTCTAATGGAAGAATTTCAGTTATCAATGAGCTTTAGAAGGGTGGAGACAGTGGCATTCCTGTAGTCCCTGACCTCTCACCACAGAGGTGACTGCCTATTCATAGCTTTGCAGACTTGAAAGAATGACATTAATGAAACAGAAGGGGCAATGTGGTCTACTTAGGAGAGAGCCAGCCAGGAAGAACTGGGTGAGTTCAAGTCCCTCTGACACATACTGGGTGTGTGACCCTGGGCAAGTATTTCATTAATTAAGTATAGGCAACTCTCTAAGACTAAATTGTCCAGAAGGTGTCAACCTGTGTTTCTAGTTCCCTGAACCAATAAAATCATAGATCAAGTCCCTATCCTTGTGATTATAATACAGGTTGTCTGTTGCTTTTTAACATTTCCTAAATTTCCCAAATTTCCCCTAAAATGTTTTTATTTTAACTGAGTTATTGCTGATATGAAATTACATTTTGTCTATTTCTAATCTATTCATATGCACATACTATATATATGGGTCTATTAAATGTGTATTTAAATATGCTTATATAGAGAACTTGTTGACAAATACTGATTATATAAGTTCTAGTTAAAAACTGTAAATTTAATGCAATGTTTTTCACACACCAAACTGATATTGTAGTCATTAAAAAAATTACTACAAGTGCCAGCTGGATATTTTTTTCGGAGCAAAGTGTCATTTTAATGAGAATTTAAGATTTGATACTATATGATAGATGTTTGGATAAAAATAAAATGGGTTTGGTTTAGAGAAAGTATGTAAGATTCCAGTGTGACCTAATCATTCTAATAATGTGTTCCCTTGTGATGCCTTTCTCTCACATCAAAGCCTCACATCACAGTGACACATGCCACAGTGAATGCCTCAGAGAATTCTGCCTGGACACTTGCATGCCAGAAGCTAGCCTTGCTCTGGCTTATCCACCAGAGGGTGCATTCAATTCAGGATGTGTTGAGTGGCCCTGATCAGGTCATCACTGGCTTGAACAACTCTAAGAAGCAAGTTCCGTATTTCATATGAGAACTAGATTATGTTCTAGTTTGGACTCAATGTGAACCTGGAAGGCCTGGAAGAAAGTATATACACCCCTTAATTGATCAAGTATAGAAATGTTTCAGAACTGATACACCAGGTCAAAACCTATTCCAGGCTGGGCTGCATGCCACATAATTACTCTAGGTTAAGACAAGTAAAGTTAATAAGCATTTATTAAGTGACTATGTATGTTTACCTAAAAGATCATTTTACAGAGAACTCTCACATGGAGTTCAGAAGGTAGTACAAGGACACTCTTAAGGTCTCCCTGAAGGACTTCAGTATCAACTGTGAGATGTGAGAGGCCCTGTGCCAGAGCCTCCCAACATGGTGTGCCCACATCAAAGAAGGTGCTGCAAAGCAGAATCACAATAGTATAAAAGAAACATGAAATGCACAAATCTAGAGACATCTCCATCCTGAATGTTCAAGTGGACTATTTATGCCTGACCTGTGGTAGAGGCTTCTGAGCTCGAGCTTGTATTGGGCTGATCAGCCATAGTCAAACACACTCTACCTTGACCCCAACATTGTGATGTCATTGGTATGCTTCAAATACAAAGGTCCAACAACAACTTACTATTTACCAGACACTGTGCTAAGCCCTGGAGTTGCAAAGAAAGACAAAAGACAGAACCTGCTCCCAAGGGGCTCACAGCCTAATGTGGAGAGACAAAAAGTGAATAGCTATATGTAGAATCAATTGGAGATAACCTCAGAGAGAAGACAGTGGGAATGAAGGAGATCTGGGAAGACTTACTGTAGAAAGCTGTAATTTCAGCTTGGACTAGGAGGCCACGGAAACCAGAAGGCAGAGATGAGGAGGGAGAGAATTCCTCACATGAGAGATAACAGGTGAAAAGGTCCAAATTTGGGGGAGTAGAGTATCTTGTTCAAAGAACAAGGAGGCCAGTGTCACTGAATCAGAGTAAGTGGGCCTAGTAAGGTGTAAGAAGCCTGGAAAAGTAGGGAGGGGCCAGGTTTTAAAGAACTTTGAATGTCAAACTGAGGATTTTATATTTGATACTGTAGGTGGTAAGGAGCCCCTGGAGTTGATTGAGTAGGAAGCAGGGTGACATGATCAGAACCATGCTTTAGGAAGCTCACTTTGAAGGCTGAGCAGGGATGGACTACTGAGCAGAAGTAGGGACAGATTTAAGGTAGTGAGACTAACTAGCAGCCAGTGTATTAGTACAAGCATAAGGTGATTGGGTCCAGCACCAGGGTGGTGACAGTGTCTGACGAGAAAAGGGGGCATAAATAAGAGATGTTAGGAAAGTAAAATCTCAGGATTTGACAACAGATTAGACATGGGGGATGAGGGTGAGGAGTAAAAGTTGAGCTTTTTGTGGAAGAGTTTTACACAAACCCGAGTTGCTAAGAACCTTTTTTGGTCCAAACCTCTAATTTCTTTGGTGTTTGGAGCAACTGTTTTCGTGATTTATAGTTCAAAGAGTTGCCTAGGGAGCTTAGGGGTGCTGCTCAGGATCTCACAGGCAGAATATGTCAGAAGCAGGGCCACCATAAAGCTTTTTCAGATTCTGAGAACAACTCTCTAAACATAAGCCAATTTATCAAATTGGCTTGTGCACTTGGTAGGAGCAAGGAACCTTTAACTCCATGGCATTTGGTGATTTGTTAACATATCAACTAATAAATCAATAAGAAGAATTTTAAGTGCCCACGAAGACCTAGGTACTATGTTCAATGCTACAGATACAAAAACAAAAATGAAGCTATCCCTGCCCTCAAGGAACTTATGTTTTATTTGGGGAAATGACATGTACAAACATAAATACAAGCAGTTCTATTATAACATGGCATGTATATTCGCCTCAAGCACCCTACTATGCAAAATCAGTCAATAAAAACTACAGAGTTTATGGGAAAAATGGGGTTGGGGTACAACTCTTAAAAACCTCTTTATTGACCACACACACAAAAGATAAATACTAATAATAAAATACCTAACAAAAATTGGCAGCATGGTTTTATATATTAAAGGACAAAGAGATACACAAATACTACAATAAATAGTGGCCATGTCGCCTACCAGGGCCTATGCCCCAGGCTGTACTAGCAAGTTGGGCGGGCCTGAACTTCCATCCTCTGAGCTGGAGGCTAAAGTGGAAGGGGATGAGGTGAGACTTGGGGCATGGACCAGCCCTTCTTCACTCCAAGCTCCTACACCAGAAGATAGACAAAGGCACTCCACTTTGACAAAGATATGAACTTTGCTTTCAGAAGTGGGTCTCAGAAGGGCTGCTTGTAAGTTATTGTAAAGTGGTGCAATTTTCTGCATTCTCACTCTTCCTTGAGGAAGAAATCTTAAAGGAACAAGCTAGAAATTTGAGTTATGCTCAAAATGTATAAAATAAATTTGCATTTTTGAACATGTATTATATCAGAACTGACCGTAAATGCAAAATTTATGGAAGTAAATACAAAATCATTGGTGGAGGGTGGAGTGACTAGCAGTTGGGGAGGTTAGAAAAGGTCTCATAGACAAAGTGCTTCTTGATTTGAATTTTCTAGAAAACTAAAGATTATAAAAGACAGAGATGAGGAAGGAGGTCAGCAAGGCATGGAGTCAGTCTCCATGGAAAGTCCCAGAGATGGGAGATGGAATGTTGTGTGTGAAGGACAACAAATGGACAGTTTTGTTGGATCTTAGTGTGTGTGAATGGGAATAAATAATAGACGGGAGGCAGATTGTGAAGGGTTTTCGTTACCAAATAAAGGAGTTTATGTTTGATGCTATTGGTAATAGAGAACCACTGGAGCTTTTCAAGTAGGGAAATGACATGGCCAGCTCTAGGAATATCACTTTGGGAGCTATAAGGAAGATGCATCAGAGAGGGTAGAGACTTGAAGTGGAAAGATCAGTTAGGAGGCTACTGGAATAATCCAGCTAAGAGGTGATGAGGGCCTAGACTAAGGTATTAGTCATATGAGCAAAGAGAAGGGGACAAATGTAAGACTTATTGTGGAAGTAAGACCAAGAATTGGATAAGGAGGGTGATGAATAAAGGATGACTTCAAGTTCTTGGATGACTGCAAGGGTGGGGATTCTCTAGGCAGAAAAAGGGATATTAGGAAGAGGAATGGGGATTTTTGGGAGAAAGATAATGTATTTTGTCCTGGACATGTTGAATTTCAGATACCTACAGAATATCCATTTGGAAAGGGCCAATACACTTTTTGTGATTTGGGAATGGAGCCCTGGAGAGAGATTAGGGATAGATATATAGATGTGGGAGTTATTTGCATTGGTATGATAATTGTACCTATGGGAGCTGATACGATCATTGAGAAAGTGTAGGTAGAATAACACAGAGAGTGAAGATAAGGGCCTTGGGGTGCACCCACCCATGGAGGCAGGAAATGATGATGATCTGGCAAAGGAGACTTAGAAGCAATAGTGATATATGTAGGCGAAGAACCAAGGGAGAGCAGTATTATGAAAACCCAGAGAAGAGGGAATAACTAAGAGGACATTGTCCAAAGATATCCAATGCTTCAGAGATATCAAGGATGATGTGCTGTTGGATTTGCAGTGAAGAACTCACTGGTAATTCTGGAGAGAGCAGTTTTCTATGAGGGATGAGGTCAGAAGCTAAATTGCAAGAGGAAGAGAAGTGAGGGAAAAGAGAAAGTAGTAAATGTGAACAGCTTTTTGTAGGAATTTGACTGTGAAAGGGAAGAGAGATGTAGGACACTATCTAGATTGAATGATAGTGTCAAGTAAGAGTTTTTATGGGTAGGAGAGACCTGTGCATGTTTGGAGGTAAAAGAGAAGAAGCCAGGAGGTAGGATCAAGAATAGTAAATTTATATCTGAAAAGAACATAGGTCATTGAGAGGTCACTGAGACCAATCTCCTCATTTTCCAGATGAAGAAACTGATATCCACAGAAGTTAAATGACTTGCTTAAGATTACAGAACTGAGGAGAGGAAAAGAAGGTTATTGTGAGAAGTACCTGATATATGAAGACAGAAGGTAAGAGATCCAGAGTAACATAGAGGGGTTAACTATTGGGAGGAGAGGGGCCACCTCTACCAGAAACTGTAGCATCTAGAAGAGAGATTAGGGGACGATGTTTGGGGATATTGAGATGCAGAGTGGAGAAAGAGCTCACTGCAAAAAGTCTCTACATTTTTTTTTGAGGCAATGGGGTTAAGTGACTTGCCCAGGGTCATGCAGCTAGTGAGTTTTTATGTGTCTGAGACCGGATTTGAACTCAGGTCCTCCTGACTCCAAGGCTAGAGCTCTATCCACTGTGCCACCTAGCTGCCCCAAATAGTCCCTACATTTTCAATAAAGTATGAGGCAGACTTCTGCTGAGAGGGAAAGGAAGGGATAGTATAGAAGTCTTGAGAAGAGAAAAGAAGGTTCATCCTCAAATGCATATATAGTCCTTATCACTCATAGGACAATTAATCTTATTTTTCCTGCTTTATAGGAATAGTTGTATACCAACAAATATTCTGTGTGGTTATAATAACTACTTTTTACAATGGTCTCCAAATGAGTTTCTAGTCTGTGTCTTGTCCAATCTATTCTCCACATTGATGCCAAATTGATATTCCCAAAACACAGGTTGCACTGAATCTGAAAATATTTGGTGGCTCCCTATGGCCTCTATGATAAAACATAAATGTCTCAGACTGGTATTGAGGGATCTACATAATCTTTTCCTCCTTTCTAGTCAGGTTATATGCATACTTTCTTTTAAACATGAATGGGAATAGCTCAGCCATATAATGGAACCAGATAGCAAGATGAATTGGAAACCAGAGTCCAATAAAATTTTGTGTACAAAAGACAAACTTGGGACAAAAAGACATACATACAGTTGACATGAAGGGCCTGAGCAAAGTCTATTATGCTTCAGCTGAAGTGAAGGGAGGAAGGGTGGCAATCATGATCTCAGACGAAGCAAAAGCAAAAATACACCTAATTAAAAGAGATAATCAGGGAAACTACATTTTGTTAAAAGGTACCAGAGCCAATGAAATAATATAAACATTTTTACAAGTTTCTCTGATAAAGGCTTCATTTCTCAAATATATAGGGAACTGAGTCAAATTTATAAAAATGAGAGCCATTCCCCAATTGATAAGTAGTCAAAGGACATGAACAGGTAGTTTTTAGGAGAAATCAAAACTATCTATAGTCATATGAAGAAATGCTCTAAATCTCTATTGATTATGTAAAGACAAATTAAAACAACTCTGAGATACCACCTCACATGTAACAGAAATGACAAATGCTGGAGGGGATGAGGGAAAATAGATAGAATAATGAACTGTTGGTGGAATAGTGAACTGGTCTCAACATTCTGGCAAACAATTTGGAACTATGCACAAAGGGCTGTAAAATTGTGCATACTCTTTTAATCCAGCAATATAACTATTAGGTCTGTACCCCAAAGAGATCAGTGAAAAAAAAGAAAAAAGACCTATATGTACAAAAATATTTATAGCAGCTCTTTTTGTGATGGAAAAGAATTGGACATTGAAGGAATGCTTATCAGTTGAGGAATGGCATTACAAGTTGTAGGCTATGATTGTGACAGAATACTATTGTGCTGTAAGAAATGATGAGGGGAGTGATTTCAGGGAAAAAAAAACATAGAAAGACTTATATGAACTGATGCTAAGTGAAGTGAGAAGAACCAGGAGATCACTACGCCCAGAAACAGCAGTGTTGTAATGACCAACTATGAAAGACTCAGCTACTCTGATCAATACAGTGAGCCAACACATTTCCAAAGGGCTCATGATAAAAAAAAAAAATGCTATCCACCTCCAAAGAGAGAACTGGTGAACTCTGAGTGCAAATTGAAATATGATTTTCTTCTCCTTAGTTTCTTTTGTGATATGGCTAATATGGAAATATGTTTACATAATTTCATATGTATAATTGATATTACATTGTTTGCTTTCTCAGTGATTGGGGGAGGGGCTAGAGGAGGGAGAGAACCGAGAACTCAAAATTTTAAAAGAAAAGAATGTTAAAAAATAAATAATCAATCTTTATAAGAAGTATATTTTATTTTTATCTTTTTTTACATTGCCTAAACTTTTCCTTGTATCCCTCCTCAAACCTTTCTCAGACAGCCATGCCATATAAAAAAGGATTTATTTTTATTAAAAAGAAAAGGAGAAAAGAACCAGCAAAACCAATCAACACATTAAAAAAATCTGGCAGTATATGTGGTGTTGCATAGCCTTTGCAAAAAAGTGGGGGAAGTGTATTCTCAGAGCTCTTCTTCTTCTTCTTTTTTAATATAAATTTATTTATTTTTAATTTTCAATATTCACTTCCACAAGATTTTGAGTTCCAAATTTTCACCCCATCTCACCCCTCCCCCCACCCCAAGATGGCATGCATTCTGAATATCCCTTCCCCTAGTCTGTCCTCTCTTCTATCTCTCCCCCCTTCTCTTATCCCCTTCCCCTTCTATTTTCCTGTAGGCAGGATAGACTTCTACCCCATTTCCTGTATTTCTTATTTCCATAGCATGAAAACATTTTTTTTAAACGTATGTTTTTAAAACTTTAGGTTTCAAATATTCTCTCTTCCTCCCTCCCCACCCACCCTCATTGAAAAGGCAAGCAACTCAATATAGGTTATACATGTGCAGTTATGCAAAACACTTCCATAGTAGACATGTTGTGAAAAACTAACTCTATTTCCCTTAATCCTATCCTGCCCTCCCATTTATTCTATTCTTTCTTTTGACCCTGTCCCTCCTCAGAAGTATTTACTTCTGATTACCCCTTTCCCAATCTGCCCTCCTCTCTATCATCCCCCTGTTCTCTTGTCCCCTTCTCCCCCTATTTTCCTGTAGGGTAAGACAGATTTCCATACCCAATTGAATGTGTATGTTATTCCCTCCTTAAGCCAAATCCTATGAGAATAAGATTCACTCATTCCCTCTCACCTTCCCCTGTTTCCCCTCCACTGTAAGAGACTTTTCTTTTCTGTTTTTTTTTGTGAGATAATTTACCCCATTCTACCTCTCCCTTTCTTCTTCTCCAAGTATCGTCCTCTCTCATCCCTTAATTTTATTCTCCAGATATGACCCCTTAATCTTCAACTCACCCTGTGCCCTCTATCTATCTATCTATCTATCTATCTATCTATCTATCTATCTATCCATACATATAATTTTTTTCTTTCAACTACCCTAATACTGACAAAGGTCTCATGAGTTATAAATATCATCTTTCCATGCAGGAATGTAAACAGTTCAATCTTAATAAGTCTCTTATGATTTCTCTTTCCTGTTTACCTCTTCATGTTCCACTTGAGTCTTGTATTTGAAAGTCAAATTTTCTATTCAGCTCTGGTCTTTTCATCAAGAATGCTTGAAAGTCCTCTATTTCACTGAATGACCATTTTTTCCCCTGAAGGATTATACTCAGTTTTGCTGGGTAGGTGATTCTTGGTTGTAATCCTATCTCCTTTGCCCTCCAGAATATTATGTTCCATGCCCTGCGGTCCTTTAATGTAGAAGCTGCTAAATCTTGTGTTATCCTGATTGTGTTTCCACAGTACTTGAACTGTTTCCTTCTGGCAGCTTGTAATATTTTCTCCTTGACCTGGGAACTCTGGAATTTGGCTATAATATTCCTAGGAGTTTTCCTTTGGGGATCTCTTTCAGGAGGAGATCTGTGGATTCTTTCAATTTCTATTTTGCCCTCTGGTTCTACTATATCAGGGCAGTTTTCCTTGATAATTTCTTGAAAGATGATGTCTAGGCTCTTTTTTTGATCATGGCTTTCAGATAGTCCAATAATTTTTAAATTCTCTCTCCTGGATCTATTTTCCAGGTCAGTTGTTTTTCCAATGAGATATTTCACATTGTTTTCTAATTTTTCATTCTTTTGGATTTGTTCTACTGTCTTGATTTCTCATAAAGTCACTATCTTCCAATTGCTCTATTCTAATTTTTAAGGAAGTATTTTCTTCAGTAATCTTTTGGACTTCCTTTTCCATTTGGCCAATTTTTCTTTTTAGGGCATTTTTCTCCTCATTGGCTTTTTGGACCTCTTTTGCCATTTGGGTTAGGCTATTTTTTAAGGTGTTATTTTCTTCAGTATTTTTTTGGGTCTCCTTTAGCAAGCTGTTGACTTGTTTTTCATGATTTTCTTGCATCACTCTCATTTCTCTTCCCAGTTTTTCCTCTACTTCCCTTACTTGCTTCTCAAAATCCCTTTTGAGCCCTTCCAAGGCCAGGGACTGATTCATTTTTTCTTGGAGGCTTTGGATGTAGGAGCTTTGATTTTGTTGTCTTCTGGTTGTATATTTTGATCTTCTTTTCACCAAGGTAAGATAATATAGTCTCTTTTTGCACTGCTTGCTCATGATCCCAGCCAATTACTTGAGTTTTAAACTATTTGTTAAGGGGACGAGTCTGCTTCCAATGTGGAGAATGTACTGTCCCAAGCTTCGGGGGGTTGTACAGCTGTTTTCAGAGATACTTGTAGGGACCTATAAATTTTCAGTTCTTGCAAGGTGGTATGATAAGGGGGGAGGTGTTTACTCCTTTCCTGGCCTGCAACCACAAGTACTCCTTTCTGTCCTGTAACTGTGAGGAGGGTTTTCTCTCCACAGCCACTGCAAGCTCCACCGCGCCCGCTCTCCTCCTCACCCCAGCACCGCAGCCCAGAACTGTGGCCCACATCCAAACATGGGCAAAGCAAGAGATTCCTGCCTCAGCACTGGCAAAGAGATCCCTGTAATCCCTCTCTGATCAGCCACTGGATTCCCCCTCAGTCTGTGGGCTGGAAGCTCAGGAAGCAGCTGCCCCCCCCCCCCAGCGCCATGCTCTTGGGGAATGAAGCTGAGACCGCACACCTTCTTCTCTCAGCACTGACAGAAACAGACTTTTCCTACTGACCTTCTAAGTTGTCTTTGGCATTAGTGGATTGAGGAGTCTGGAAACTGCCACAGCTGCCTGAGATTCAGTCCTCTGAAGCCTGCTTCAG